TGTTTCTGTGATTCTGTGTGTGATTCTGTGATTCTGTAAAAGCTGCAAAAGAACTAGGGTGCAAGCTGTATGGACCTAAAAAGCAGACTTTTCCAGATGATGAAAATTTTTGCATGATGCAGGGCTCTACCCAGATCTGTAATTCAACAGAGTGTGAGAGGTCCCGGTTGCATTTCACTACACAGAGGTACCAAACAGACCAAACCAATGAAGCAGTCCACAGAACATGTGTTTAACCTGCTTTCTGTAGCCAAAAAAGTAAAAAACTAGTCTCAAAAACAGCATAAATGCATTTTCGCCATTCTTCTAAACAGGCATGGCAACTATAGCACAGTGAGAACAGAAGTTCAGTACCATTTTCTGCCAGACACTAAGAATGATTGCTCTATCTATGAATCTCAAACTCCTCAGGCTAGTTAAGGATCCTTGTAACTAATTTTCAGAAATACTTAACATAGTATGTCCTTATTTTCTGACACTGGAAATAAAGTATTACGTAAACTGAGGGATTCTCTACACCATCCTGAGTACAGCACCGTATTAGGTCTCAAGTTCTGAAGACAGTCCACACCTTATTAGCATGAAATAGTGCCAAAAATGTTACATGAAACAATTAAAGGCGGCACTGACATGCAAAGCAAACTAAGAAAAGGAATAGAAACAAAATTCTTCAAGGGTGACACAGCAGATGATGAAGTATACACATTGTTATTAAAATGGAAAAATACCTAGTCTCATTTTACAGATAAGCTTCAAGTGTTATTGCTCCCTTCCAAGCTGCTCAAATGAACAGTGCTGCTGCCAGCTTGTATTACAGGAAAATTACTTATGTTCTGACTGGTAATCCAGAAAACCTGTGTACTCAAGGCCCCACGATTGAAAGCTAATATGGTAAATTTAAAGTATACTTTGTGCATTAAATAAATTTTTCTCAAAGCTGTTCTATTAGTAATGCTGAGAAATGCTCAAGTACCTTCACCAGTGAAATACTCAAAATCACAGCAGCAATTAGCTCTAAAAGCATTTATTTGCTGCCCTGAAAGCAGAATCAGAGAAACAAGATTTTCACCAAGCCAGGCAGTCGTTTCAACGATGAAAATGTATACTTGATGATTAGCTTGCCTGCAATTTCAAGGCATACACTGGCAAGAGCCAGTGCTTTCTAAGGCTAATTGAGTATCCTTCCCAAAGATGCACACTCCATCTTCTTTTTCAACAGAATATTTCTATTGAGCTTACACATAAAATACAGAAAATGCTGGAAACAAACTGAAGCACGACACACATGTTCACTCAAACTCTGATTTCAGTCTTTGGCATAAGCTTCCTGAAAAGATGGCTGCCAGCGTAAATGCACACCAGAATAACAACTGTCACCACTAGATTAAAGGAATTAAAAAAAAAAAAGTGGAGGATTAAAATACCTTTTTAATCTTATTAATAATTGTTCATGTGTTATTTCTTTAAAAGTGTTGTATGGAAGATGTTGTGTGTCCTACCTCTATCTTCCATTAGGAGCTGTTTAAACATGGCAATTAGTTTTGTCATCTTGTTCCTCTCCAGCACTTTCTACAATCCAAACATAATTGTCTTGACAGCCTGAATGCTGACAACAAATTCCTCAATT